CGTTTACCATCCGTGCGACTTCAGCAGGCGGCATCCCCTTCGTGCACAGCCGGCACGGATCGCGGTGTCCGCCCATCCGGAATATCGGATGAGGGCGGCTCTGGAGCGAGAGGACCCGGCGCTCGACGAAGGCAACGAGGAGGTCAGAGGCCACGAGGCCCTCCTACTCCTGGAGCACTCGGAGTCGGCCGATGGCGTCCGCCGCGTCCGCCGACACCGGCTTCGGTTTGTACCCCCAGGTGGGCCGAGCCCCGGTGGGGGGGCCGGCCTCATAGGCCGGCCGGTTGAGGAAGTCGGCGGCAGGGTCTACGTTCTCAACATAGAAGTAGGACTGCTGCCACATCTTCACCGACTGCGCCAGCTTGATGACGGGGAAGGCGTTCCGCTTCGCCGGACGGTGCACGGCGACGAAGCCCCCACACTCGGCCGCCGTCTCCCTGGCGGAGGTGCCGAGCTTCCCATAAAAGAACGCTCCCCACAGCTCGATTGTGGGGAGGATGCCGATGTAGCCCTCGCACGCCATGACAAAGGCGGAGAGTAGATTCACGGCGTTGGGCGTGAGGTGGTGAGGCTGAAGATGGTAGAAGTCGAGAAAGGAGCGGAAGAAACCGCTCACCGGGAGGCCGAAGCCGCGGAGGAAATGCGAGCGGAAGACGACCCGCTCGTCTCCCCGCGGCGCCGGCGAGATCTCTGTTTTCGGCGGCACCCGCGCCTTGACGAAGGCCGCGCTGGGCATCCGCCGCGTGTCGCGAAGGAAGGAGATGTGATCTTCGATCACGGTCGATCTATCCCAGTCGCCGCCTCTCTCGCGCGCCATGGCTTCCGGCTGGCTGCGTGGGGAGGAGAAGAGCATCGGCGACGGACGACGGCGGTAGCACTGCAGCAGCGCAGAACAACGGCAGCAGCGATGGAGGAGCAAGCAGAAGAAGAAGAAGGGTGGGAGAGGGCGCGAGAGCTTTGCCGCACCTCTCCCATCTCCCTACTTATAGCCCTCGGGCTACGAAGCCGAGGGGGCGAGACGCGGGTCGTCGGATTAACTGCGCCCATGACCCCACGACCCCCATTTACCGCACGCATTCACCGCGCCATAAATGGTCGTGGGAATGGCAACCGTCCCCTTCGGTGCAGCGGATCCGCCCGATTGCCGAGGCGCGGTAGTGGCGGGGCCGGTCCAGTGTCACGTCCCGTCAGGGGCGTGGGATGGAAGGCTGACCAGGCTGGCGTGCGCCGCATGGCGCGTTTGTAGCG